GGCGGGGAGCCGGGGCTGCGGGGGAGCTGTGGGTCAGGAAGCGCTCCGTGCCCGGCCATGGGGTGGTCTACTATACCAGAAGCATCCGAGGCTGCTCGGAGAGGCCACTGCCATCCCTCAGGAGCGGCAGAGCACGACACAGAGGAGTTTGCCTGCAAAGGAGGAAGGTTTTTCTCGCCAGCTCGTTGAGAAACGGGGCTAAGAGTAGGCATCGTGAAGGGCTAGGGTGGGAAACCCTGGCACAGATGACACGGGGACCCCCCGGAAAGGCTGGATCCTGGCGTGGGGGCTACACAGGGCCCAGGACCTGTTTGCGGCCATCACGGATGAGCAGGTGGGATGGGACAGACAGACAAACTGCACGCTGCCCCCAGGCCAGCGAAGAAGCTGCAGCACAGTGCTGCTCTCCCACAGTCCCCCGCAGGCCAGGGGGGAAGGAGGCGACTCATTTTCCCCGGGGAGAAGGAATTTAGTCCTCCGGCTGCAGCGGGGCTGACTCAAAGGTTTCTGGCAGCTCCTTCCAACCGCCTCGCTCTCCCTTCCTCCCGGCCCAGCTCTGCCGGGTCTGCCCCCCCAGCGGGCTTGTCTTTCTGACACCGCGGATCAGCGGCGCAGAAAGCTCCTTCAACCAAACAGGCTGGGAGCGAGGAGCGCCAGAGCCGGGACAGGCCTTGTGGGAACAGCAAATCCGGCCATTATTCCGGGCAGGATCCTGGGCAGGCAGGAGCACACCCTCACCTAGAACCTTCGGAGGGAAGAGAGCTGGCTGTCAATAAAAGGTCAGGACCACCGGGGGAAAGAACATCCACCTCGGAAAGGGCTGAGAGGCAGAGGCTCTGCGGCAGAGCGGAGGTCTGAGGGAGGTGCCCCCGCGCCAGCACTCCCGCCGCGCCGCCTGCCAGAGGGGTGGGAGCACCGCGCGGCCCCAACCGCAGGACGAGGCAAGGAAGGGTCCTGCACGAGACCTGGCGATGGCCTCTGCAGCCACCGCACGCTGTGCCACGGAGGGAGCCGGCGCTCCTGGGAGGAATCCCCGTCGAGAGGCGCTGACAAACCCACAGCTGCCGCCGGTACCAGATCAGCGGCGTGGCAGGGGGAGCGGGGCCCTGGCACCGCCACAGACATACCCAGACAGCTTAGCGGCGTGCCAGGCACGACAGGCAGCCCGCGCCGATCGAGCAGGCACACGGCGACCCAAGAGCCAACAAGAGAAGGCCTTAAATTAAATATAAGGAGGGCTGAACTGCCAGGCTCCCAGAGCTGCGAACAGAGGCACCGCGTCCAGCTGGACCGAGTCACCAGCCGCGTGCCCCAGGAGTCAGTCCGGGGCCAGCACCGTTTAGTGTCCTCATGAGTGACCTGGCGATGGGACGGAGCGCGCCCGCAGCGAGGCTGCAGACAGCACAGGACGCGCAGGAGCGGCTGGAACGGCCGCCGGCGTGCTGCTCTCCATTTTTTTTGGGAGAAACGGCCCCCGGGCAGGGAAGGGCCGGGTCCTGAGCGCAGGGAGGAACAGCCCCACACAGCAGGTCGAGGAGCCGATCCCTCCCTGCCACTCCGCGCTGGCGAGACATCGGGAGTGTCCGCGGGCACACCGGAGCAAGTCCAGTGCAGGGCCGTAACGATGATTATGGGACTGAAGCACGTGATACTTGAGAAGAGGTTGACAGAGCTGGAGAAGAAAAGGATCGGGGCAGCTCACCTATGTGCACAAATATCCCGTGGGAGGTTGTAAAGAAGTCAGAGCAGAGCCTTAGCTGTGCCCAGTGACAGAGAGTGAGGCAAGGGCACAAACCCAAAACACTGGAAATCCCACTTAAACTCAAGAAAGAGCTACACACGCACACACACGCATCCCAAACGTAAGAAAAACCTCTTTTCCTGTGAGGGTAAAGCAGCCCCGGCCTTGAGCCTGGAAGAGGTCACCCAGAAAGCAACCTGTCTCCGAGACGTCCAAAACTCAACCGGACACGGTACTGAGCAACCTGCTCCAGGCGAGCGGGGTTCATCTCCGGAGGCCCCCGCCGACCTCAACTATTCTGCGATTCTGCAAAGGCGTCAGAAGAAGAGGAAATAAACCTCAAAGGAGAAGAGGAAGAACAACCACCGGGCCGTGAAGCAGCTTCAACTCAAGAAGAAGTTGAACTGCCTGAGGTTCTTCATCTTAAAGGGGTGGCCAAAGGGAAGAGACCTCTGGAACCACAAGCACAGAAGGTAACCGCAGAGCTGCTCTTCGCTCCCTCGCGGTACCAGACCCGGCAGCGCCACGTCGGCTGACGAGACAGCAGGTTCAACCAAACAGAACGTGCTGCAGGTCGCACTGCCCAGAGCTTGCTGGCACCGCACACCCAAAGGGGAACAAAATACTCATCTGCCACCGTCTGCTGCCGGAGAGGGAAGAGGGACAGGAGCAGAGCGCGTGCTCTCAGGCACCCAAGAGCAGCTACCCGCACCGGCAGCTGCACGACAACGGGGCACGCAGAGCGGAGGGGAAGAGCTCCGGCGGCCTCAGCCATGCGCGTCCCGACACCACACGCTGCCAGACAGAGCCCCTGACGCCGCGCACACCGGGAGAAGGAGCACGCTCTCGCTTGCCCACACTCCTGCCCATGCCGCCTTGACCCTGAGAGCCCCTTGGGCTGCCGCTCAGCATCCTCAGCCTCCCGCTCAGCATCCTCAGCCTCCCGCTCAGCATCCTGCTCAGCATCCTCAGACTCCCGCTCAGCAT